TGCGGCTGCGGCTGCGGCTGCGACTGCGGCTGATCTTTCTTCTCCCCGTCCTTTTTCTCAGCTTCTTTCTTCTCGCCCTCCTTCTTTTCGGCCTCTTCCTTCTTCGGGGCTTCGCCCTCTTTCTTCTCGCCCTCTTTCTTGCCCTCCTCTTCTTTCTTCGGCTGCTCTCCTTCTTTCTTTGGCTCCTCCTTCTTCTTTCTTCTCGGGCTCCTGGGCGGGCCCCCCCGACAGTAGATCGGTGGCAGGCCAGTGCTTTCTCAGCTTGCTTACTATGGTTACCGGATCCACTGTCCCTATCACCGTCAGCTTCTTCCCCTTCATGTCCATCGCTATCGAATCTATCCCTAAACCCCCAAAAGAATAACATGAAAACAATCAAAACCACCATTCATTATGGAAAATCTATCTAATTCTAAAACTTGCGTCTTGCTATATATATTTTTTATTGTATGGAAAATCGAATATGCATTTTGGTGACGTATTCAGAAATCGCATACCGTTGAATGAATAACCGACGTGGACTCCATTACAAACAAAAACAAAATAAAAGCCTTTCACCCATTATCAACCACGCCATGTTTTTCAGCGAAACCAATGGTCATCTTTTATTTCTCTATATTGGAAAAGTATATATTTTCAAAAACCAAGGAATTGCAAAGGATGATGGAATACAATAATTGAATGGAGTAAAGTTGACCGTACTGTCACTGTTGTTGTTGTTGTCCTAAAGAGAGAGAGAGGCAGCTAGTGTCAGAACAGCCCGTGATCCTTCATTGATCTTTTATATTCTCGAGAAAATTCTGTTCCTTTTTCTTTTCAAGCTCGGATTTTCCCACCAACCAAACACCACACAATCCCCTCCTCCTCCAAACCAAAACCATAATCTTTCTAATTTCTAAACCATAAACGGAAGCTTGTACCGGACCAGATACTTGATTGAATTTTGGTTCACAACACTGACATTTAAACGTTCTGTTCGCATCGATCAATTTTCTTTTCCGGGAAAATTCGAAGGCAAAAGTAAGTTTGAAGGTTACCTGAGAGGGTAGAGACCGTTTTGAGGGCCTTCTGCTTGGCCTTGTCATCATGCAGATCCAGTTTCAACACAATTTTCTGTCAAAAAAAAAAAAAAGTTAATTTCTTCAAGATTCACTAAAAAGGTGGAATGAAATTATGCGAAAAAGGAGACAGGATTTGCATGTGATTTTGCTGTTTCACATCTAAATGAAGAATCAGAGAAGGAATGGGTGATCCAAATACGTACAAACTGACTTGGCATATATGCATAGATGTATGAAACAGAGACTCGATACTATACGGATACAGAGCATAGCCCATTCATCACTAGTAGCATTATGATTTGATTCGTACAAAATCAGCAGGAAATTAACAAAATTTCTAATCAATTGAAACTGCAAGCATGCATATATATATATATATATATGTGTGTGTGTGTGTGTGTTGTATAATATGAAAAAAGATGAGACTTTTCTGGGAAAATCGAAAGCAGAATCAGTGAAAGAATGCAACAAGGCATGATGTATAACAACGGATACGGAGAAGCACATGGCGATAGATTCCAAGAATAGAAATTATGAATCTGAGAATCAGAATCAGAATCAGAATTTTCCTTGGAAAAAAAAAACGAACTTTTTTCTTAGAAGGATCAAAATCTATAGACAGCAAGAAACACGTAAAGAGTAAATATGTATGTCGTGGAGTAACTAGAGAGAGAGAAACCTTCATTTCTCTGTCTGATTTTTCGTTTTCTCTGATTACCCTAAGTTTGCAGAGAGCTCAGAGATTGATTCTCTCAGGGCTTTAGAGAGAGAGAGAGGATGATGGAGAGAAGATCTGAAGAAGAAGAAGAAGAAGAAGAAGAATAGAATATTGGGAAGTTTGAATGACGATAAGAGAGAGATTTGGACAGCGATCGTTTTAGAAAAAGCTTGTATGAAGACAAAATCTTCAGATTAGGGCAGAGAGACTGAAGGGAGAGAGAGAGAGAGAGAGAGAGATGCATGCAGCAGTACGCGAGGGAGGAAGAGGGAGAGAAGAAGAAGCATCGTTGTCGAAACGCGCGTCGGTTTCACGTTCGGCGACGAGGCGCGTCGCATGTTGGTTTTTCTTCTTCTTACGTCTCCACGTCTCATCTCAGCATCATTACTTTCCGCCCTTTGGTTGTGTTTTGACATATATGAAGAACATAAATTAATGTTTTACTGGAAATAAAAGAAAGAAATAGAAGGTAAATTTCCATTTATTTTTCACCATGACCATCATTTTTTCCATCTTATCGCTAATAGTTTGATGTGATATCTCAATAACAATATTGACCTCCTTTTTTAAACGAACAATCGGCGATATAGAAATAGTGTTAGAACATGATATGAAATATTTCTTTATATTAAAGATTTATAACGAGAAACGTATTCAGTACGTATAACTTAAATTGAATATGGTTATACTCCTAAAAGCATACGCTAAGATGATCTTTTGTCATTTATCATATTGTCTGATGTTCATTTTTCCTTGATAGAATAGATTTTTCCTCTCTCTATATATATATTATTTTTTTTATTATATTATTTGCACTAATAAAATTTATTCCCACTAAATAAGGACAAATGTCTTTTCCGTAACCAGAAATATATAACATAATAAAACAGAAATTAACGTCCACAAAAAATAATATAAGTATTTATATATATGAATGCTGTCAATGTGAAAGAATAATTGCTAATATTTCATGGATTTGAATTTGAAAATTAAAGCAAAATAAAGGGTGCGTGATGAGTTGAGGCGCGTAAACACGCGCCGAGAGACTGAGAGTGGGGGAAAGAGCCGTAGGGAGCGTATCGAGTTTGGGCCACTCCGAGTCGGATGTAGGGCCCACTTATTTACGGTCGCATTTTTTTATTATTTTGCATTTACTTTTAGTTGAAAAAAGTTGGTCTTTGAAATTCAACATTGCCATCGCCGTCGATTTAGAATCCGCAACGTTTGATCTGCGCCGTTGATTTCGAGAAGCTCTTTGTCTTGGAGGCTCTGAATATCCCCTATGGTTTGACCACATCCAAAAGGTAAACACATTTTTTTAGAACTTTGAAAACATTGATCATTTTCCTTTTAGTCCATAGTTTAAAACGTACAATAATTTAAATACGAAACTTTTGATAAGGGAAATAGGGAGTCCAAGATTTGGCTGTCATTAATATTACAGCCAGTTGGTTTAGAATGTCACCTGTTATTTAGAATAGCAATCGTGAACATTTTTTGTACGGTCGATTGTAATTGTAGAAGATTGTATTGTTTGGTTGACTATTACTAAAATATATAAATTATTATGAATTATAAAGTCCGAGGAATAATAGAATATAATGTCAAGCTCCAATCTTTTCCATGTAAAAAGAGAGGGGAAGCAGAGTAGCCGGCCTATATAGACAAAGCCTGGCCCATTTGATCCGACAGAATCCCAGATCCAACGGTCAGGAATTGTTTGACGGTCCGTGCCTTAAAGTTTCAACGGCCCATGATTTCTCACTTGAAGATTTTGAAAGAAGCCCCCAATTGGTTAGCAGTAATTGTTTAGGGTTGGGTACGGCGAAAGGACAATCTTCTACTCGGATATATATATAAAAAAAGGAAAATCATAGGTTATATTTGTATAAATTTCCATCATCCAATCGAGGAAACTTTATGCAAAACGTTAAAACTATAGTTTATATATATATATAAAACTGCGTAGATATGGCGAGTTTCGGAACGATGGAGAGTTAAACATTGTCGATGGCATGGGTGGATTGATTTGTCTCACAGATTGCTAGAGGTAAAGAAGGCCCACAATTTTACGGCCCAATTTAAAAGTAATGGGCCTGTATATGGGCCTATAGAACTGAAATGTAAATACTAATGGGCCTGTATATGGGCCTATAGAACTCTGAAATGTAAATACTACTAATAGCATAAAACCAAGTTTTATTCGCAATTTTGAAAAATAATTTCGACGGAACATCGAGGAATTCCATTTCGATCAATGAGCAGAATAAAACTAGAAACGATCAAAAACATGTTTAGATTTCTTATGTTTAACTACTCGCACTTTGATATAACTAAGTCATCGAAAGAAACAACGAGAGAGATTTAACCAAAAAAAAAAACAACGAGAGAGATTCATATTCATTAACAAAAGCTGTATTATTATTATTATTATTAATATTATTATTATTATTATTATTCACACGTGTCTCCAGATCGTGCTAGAAGTTTCAAACTGTACTGTTCGTGTCCCTCCCCAAAAGGGTGTAAACATGAACTCCCTACTCCGTATCTTCTTATCCGACGTGGCGCTTCCCTTGCCGTGGATTCATAATTTTTACCCAACCCGCCTTTTGGTCTTTTTAACGGACCGTTAGTGGTATTAGCTTTTTAACGGCGTCACTGGTGTTGGAGAGTCCACGTGCCTATCTCTTCTTACTCCAATGATCTTTGATAGGAGCCACTGGATCCTGACACGTGTTCGGTCCTAGTGCATTCTTTCACATGAAATTACGCTTATACCCTATTCTTCGTTCACCCGTTATAAAATGGGGGAAGTCAAAATGCCTTGACGAGAGGTGATTAGTCGTAATAATTCCGAAGCTGCTTATCGAATCTGAAACCGAAAGAGAAGTGAAGAAATCGCTTGCGATTTGAGCTTTATGGTGTCTGTAAACCCTAGCCCAGCTCAGGGTTTCCCCTTCTTCGATCCCATGAATGTGGGTTTAACGGGTTTGAACACCCTACCCCACGCGCCGGCTGAGGGGCTTGGTGCTGGTACGATAGGTCCGATGCCGGTGAGTGGACGGAGACGGGGCAGTACGATGTCGTTTGCGGAGGACCCAGCGAGGAAGATCCGGAAGCCGTACACGATCACGAAGTCTCGAGAGAGCTGGACAGAGCAGGAGCACGACAAGTTTCTAGAAGCTCTCCAGTTGTACGTATCCGATTTGGTTTTCAGGTTTTCCGTTTTGATTAGATTATAGGATTTTTTCCCGTTTGGGACCGGATCAAAATTCTCGGTTTAGAACTCATTCGAAGCTTCGAGATCGGCGGCGAGAAATTCGTTGCTAAAATCGACGTAATTTCTTGCACGATGCCAATATGGGTTTTGGCCTGGATTAAGTTTAGGTTTTCTTATTTTTCCAAATTTGGTATTGTTTGATAATTTCAGGTTCGACCGAGATTGGAAGAAGATAGAGGCTTTTGTGGGATCGAAGACAGTGATCCAGGTAAGTGCAGATCTTTTCTTGTCGGAGCATGAGAATTGTTAGGTTTAGTTTTCTTGTGTGGCTCGTGTTGTTTCTGGACTTGGTTGGACAATTAATGTTGATAAATGTAGAAGTTCCGGTCTTTTTATGTTACATTCATTTGCAGCTTTGATTATGTATGATTGTTATATCCTAGGATCAGATTGCGACGCAACATAACCGGTGATCAAAGATTCAAATTCGTATATTTCTCTTGCGTTTCCTTTATCCTTGATCGTATAAACGGGAATATATATATGAATATATCAGTTGGATATTACCATGATGTTTGGACGATGTGGGCTGCAGATCAGAAGCCATGCACAGAAATACTTTCTCAAGGTTCAGAAGAGTGGGACTAGTGAGCATCTTCCTCCTCCGCGACCAAAGAGGAAAGCAACTCATCCATACCCACAAAAGGCTCAAAAAAGTGGTGAGTGTGATCTCACTCTTTCTAAGGTTGTTTGTCAGTTCGTGTCTCATGTCCTAACTGTTTTCTTACACATTTTCTGATTATGTGATACTTGACAGTTGCTCTTGTGCCCCCTGTCAATGTATCTTTCCCACCTTCAAGCTCACTGCTTGAACCTGGGTGCTTGTATAACACTGATTCACAGTCGTTGCTAGGGAATCCAGTCGTTAATGCTCCTGTTTCTTCTTTCTGTAAGTATGGATCATTGCACCCAAGTAATGTACCGCAGCAGGTGATCGAAGGTACATGTTTGACTACTTTTTCTTCTTTCCGATTAATTTTGAGATGGTGTTGGGGCTTAAGATGTGAAATCGGTAAATAATGTTGTAATGCCGGGTAATGGATCTGTGAGTAGAGGAATCGGGAGTCTCCACACAGGCAGCCACCACCAACTGCTGCTACAGTAGTAGCAGTACAGAAGATACACAACGGACACAGACCATTACAGCGCCAAATGATCAAGAAAGTTGTGAAAAACCGCTAAGCGGTAAAAGATTTTTTACTTGAAAAAAGACTTTTGTTGATGTTGATGTAATGTGGGTTAGGCTTCACCAGTTTCATCGCATATTCTTACTTTGAGGATTTGTCTTGTGGCTGTTTCAATACAGTGATGCCAAATTTTGCTGAAGTCTACCGCTTCATCGGGAGCGTCTTTGATCCTTCTGCCACAGGTCATGTGCAAAAATTAAAGCAGATGGATCCAATAAACCTGGAAACGGTATGTTGATGTCCAACTCCAGTCTTTAGTACCAAGAATTTCTAGAATCTGGAAGATGGGACTCCATGTTCAACTGTTGGCATATGTTCGGTTACTAATCATTTGTTTTGGTAATCAGGTGATGTTATTGATGAGAAACCTCTCTGTAAATCTGGCAAGCCCCGAGTTGGAAGAACACGTAAGCGTTTCTGATGAATTGCCACCTTAAAGCTAAAAACTTTCTTGGTGAGTTTGTGTATTGGCGTTCAATTTTGCTAACATATGTACTTATTTTGCAGAGAAGGCTGCTATCATCGTACAACGACCGAACTACAAAGGAGACATAGAAAAGAAACTTTAACAGCTCCTTTCTGGTGGATTCCTGTGAAAAAAGGTTGTCTGTCAGATGCATAAACGGTCCATTTGCTCTGTGAAGAAGGATGACGAATCATTCGAACTCTCTTGTGACCAAGATTTCTGTGTGTTCTTCTTCTCTCTTGTCCTGAAGGCGATGGGGTTTGCTAGCGGCAGTCATGCTGTATTTAACACACACACACACGGGGTAATGTGCATGGTAGACGTATGTGTATATGTGTATGTATCTATGTATGTAGGGCGTGTCTAGATGGAGTTCTCAAGGCAAAAGTGGCAACGATCCGCTGTAGGAGTTTCCTGCAGTGCAGGAGTTTGTAGGGGATCTGCACATAGAAGGCCAGTTTAGACCATCTTTGGGACGCTTTGAGGCTGTATATATAAGGTGTTTGTGTTTTGAGAGTATGTATATATATGTGTGCGCAAGTAATAATTCGGAAACTGTTCCTACCTCCCTTTGATCCTCACTGTAGATAGATAAAAGGCTATGTTGATGAAGGTGGCAAAAGATAACACCGGAAACTCTTGAGAGTAAAGACATCGAAGCAACTAAATATCAAACGATCACAAATGGTTCTTCTTCACTTTTCAAGTTACACTGCCCAAACAATAAAACCCTATTGATGCTCCTCTCCCCTGTTCTGGGCGATATGTATTTCACATTGCGCTTTGTACAAAACTAACGGTAGCCGAAAGCAAGGTCATGACCCAAGGAGCCCTGTCGACGTGGCCCACTACTACTGCCTTGTCCCATTGGCCCTACCTGCTTTGTCTCCATTCCCAGGAGTCTCTGCAGTGATCCTGTATTATGATCACCTCTGTTCACTTCCATCACTGAATCATACGACCAAAAAAATTTTGAGAGAGCCTCGTCAAGGCATAGATGGTAGAAAAAAGAACTATCAGAATGCATCAGCTGGTATAGTTGAATCAATAATGGTAAAAGAGGAGATGGATTGGTATTGTTTTCTTACCAGGTGGTGGCATGTTATGTCCAGTAAAGTTCGGCTGCCTATGTGCAAAGGGCAGGCCTTGTGATGCATTTAGCTCAGAAACTACCCCCGGCATCTGATTGTTCACACCAGGAGGGTGATGGTGTGGTGGGCCGCCCGGAAACCCTTGTACCAGATGGGGGTGAGCCATGTTGCCACGCATGTGCATTTGCTGCAAGATAGGATGAGGGCGGTGATCAAACTCAGGAACCCCACCAGGTGCAAGATGGAAAGGTGGCTGAATCATGTTTGCTGAAAACTGGTGACTAGGGGGAGGATCCCGTTGAAGGCTGCCGGAGGCCATTAAGTCAATCTGAGACTTCACATTACCATGACGAGGATCAAGCGATGAATGGAATAAAGGACCTGAACCATTTAGATGAGAAGGTCGCAGCTGCAAGTGAGATGAGTGAGCACTAGAAGGCTGAAATGGGAGATCTGGCCCATTTGTGTACTGTGGAGGATGATGGAGAAAAGGACTCTCTTGACCTCCTATTGGTGGTCTTCCGTTCCTCGGGCCAGAATTTATGGCAGCTAGCTTCTCGGTAATATTGAATGGCACTTCCGGCTCTTGATTAGGGAAACCTTGGAAAGGCATGTATTTATGCACCTTTGCAGAATCATCAACTGCAGGTAAGCTATCCTCTCCCGGGAGGCCAACACCAGCAGCACTGAACCTAGGAAGGCCATCAGATCTCATTTGGTCTCTTTGAATCAGTTCACTGATAGACTGGTCTAATCCAAGCGAAGCTTCAGAAATTCCGCCTTTTGCAGAGACAGGTTCTCCAACTGATTGCAGTTCCTTCATGAAGGCACTCCCGAAAAGAGTCTCCAGAGTCAAAGTCTTCCCAATATTTCGTGAATTCCCTGTATCTGCCTCTCTGCTAACTCGGCCAGTTTTAGGCAGTTTCTCAGTGGGTGGCCTACTTTCTGTATTTGAAGATAGGTGCTTAACTTGATTTTCCAGGCCTGGTCCTCTCTGCAGCAAAGAGAGTAGGTGCTGCGACGCCTGGTCATCAACATGTGCTTCTTGCTGTTTGGTCCTAATGGAAGAAACATCCGAGTCTTGCACGGCTGCTGAATAGCTATCAGTAACTTCTGACAGAATAGACTGTTCAAGGTCTTCACATGTGAGGACTGGTGGGGCAGTTGCAGATTTATTTGGGGAAGATTTGCTCAGCTGATCAGGGCCTTGGAAAGGAAGGCTTGCGCAGAGTTCACCGTCTGATTTTACATCGGAAGTTTGGGATTTATTGGAACCTCGAAGCAGTGTCTGCAAGCCGGTTGGATGCTCGCTGGATGAAATATTTTCAAGTGGTTTACTATCTGCACTTGCAAGATAAAAAGAGAAGTTTAGATTTCAAAATTAACTTAAGGAAGCGATATTCAGATAACCAAACAGGAATAAAAAAAGAAAATCTAAAACTCCAGCATACAGTCAGCTGATTACCTCCTTCAAGAAATAGATATGCGAACTTGGAAGATTTGTCAGTTTGAGGGCCCAATGGCCCCAATCTTTCCTCTACTTTATTGTTATTTCGCTACACAGATGGCAACAAATGCGATGTCAAATGAGATGTTAAAACATATTTCACAGAACCTATGCGCAAACTATATATATGCGCCATATGAAACGTTATTTCCATAAATTATGCATTCATTTGAGACGGAAAAGAAAAGTGTGAAGAATTGATGCCATCAATGAGTTCATAAAATATAGACCACCCTTTCAAACAGTTTTCCACGCTCATAATTTCTGTAACACAAATCTACTTCCGTAGGTCTAAAAGTGATTCAAGGGTGCTGACTCCATAGAAAAACAACTATATCATTCTTTCTATCATCCTGATACACGCTATAAAAAGCAAGAGCATATTCTTGAAGACAGTACTAAAGTCTCAGGGATAAAGGAGTCAAATGAATGATACAGGAAAGGAAGTTACCTCAGTAAAATTAGGGTCGTTGCCACCATTCAAATTCAAAGCGGTATTGAATAGCTTATCCAGGATTGAAGGTCCATCCAGGTTCCCCGAACTTTTCTTCTGGTCCAATTTCATCATCATAGCTTGTTCACTCTTTTCAGAATATCCTGAAGCTTCAGTAAAATTTGACATGCAGGAAAGCTTCTCAAAACTTTTATCTTTGCCAACCGTATCAGTAGTTACACCGAGAACTGTAGACAAATTGACAGCCCTTTCACTTGCTTTAGTGGAGATACTGGCATCTGTACTTTTCATCAACAGCTCATTTGAGCCAGTCTGATTCGCTGGTGGTTTCTCATTATTTCCAGACATTCCATTCTCTAGATGACCATCTTTGGAATCCAACAGACTACCCTCATGTTGAGAAACTTCAGTCTGCACAAGAGGTGACAACCAGTTTATCACAGGGTGAAGACAGACAGATATGGGCAAAGATATGAGTAGGGCCAAGGTGAAAATATATCAGCTATTACCAAGGTGAAAATATATCGCATTCAAGCAAAATCTCGCAAGCATATAAACCAAAATAAATAGTTCCATAATCAAAATTCAACCCTCATCGATTAACCGAAAATGAACGACCCTGAGATAGCATCTACAAATATGGTCAAAAGCTTATACATGAGTTTCCTTTTGCTTCACCCACATGAATGAGCAAAATCTTTATATCATGATATGCAGAACACTGGTAAAATATTCCCCTCTTCAAGCAAGACTAGCATTTTCAGCTTTCTATCTTTTACATAGTTCCAAATATATTGAATATTAACCCATACGAACTAACCTCTATTTTGCACATCTTGTTTATTTAATGTCAACAACAAAAGAGAATACTATCAGAGGAGAATGTTTTCTATTCAACAATATGAGATAGAGAAAAGAAAGTTTCTGGTAACACACCAAACAGAATATAACCAAGTATGGGCCTCTCAGAATAACAGGAACTTACAGGAGGCTTTGCTCCTTGTTTCCTTTCCAAAAGCGTGCTCGCAAAACCAGGAGGTACAAGTGGTCTGGGTGTAGTATTTTGAGGGGGCGGAGCGCTGCTATTAGAACCAAGAAGCGTTGAAGACTCACTCACTTGATTGCTTCTATCTGGTTGGCCTTTTTCATTCTTGGAATCCCCCAGTAGTTCAGCGAAGTCAAACTCCTTTTTCCGTTTTTCTGGGTCCAACTTTTGCCTCTCCTGGAATTCTTTATGTTGTTCCTTCCTCAACAACTCAAAGGAAGCTAACAGAAATGTGAGAATGTCAATTCGAGTTTGATAGAGAGCAAAAAGCATGTATAGGCTCTATGAACTGCACAAACTCGCAAACACCAAACTTTAAAACAGAACTGAACAATAGTTCCACAGTACCTCTTCTATTCCTCTCTTCTTCTGCTCTGTCCTCATTCGTAGAGTCAGAAGAACCAAATGTTTCATCGTTGAAGGAGTCTTTGGTGTCACGGCGTGAGTAAGGCGATGCCTAAAAAAAATGAGGAAATAAGAGAAACCGAGTCAGTTTAACTCATTTGAAACTTCAGCTAAATGCCTTATAACCAGATGACGATCCAACATTGTGAAGCCTTACTAAACATGAAATCTGGATCATTTTTCAAAGTGACGGCTCCACATAGGCAAATGGACATTTCACCTTGTATGGGCGTGGAGGATGATAAGGCTCATTGCTTCTACTCAGCTGATACGAATCATTAGACTGAGACCTCAGACCAGATGTGCCCACACCATATCCAGATGGCCTGGGGAAAGAGCCTTTTCCCAGAAGTCCATCATGCTCAGGAGCTTGCCAGGGCCTCCGAGATGGAACGCCGTAACGCCTTCCAGGCTCTGTTATCACAAGGAATCATTCATTATCAACTACAACACCCAAATTCATAAGAAGTATTTCTTTATAGATTTTCCTTACAAGTTAACTGAAGAAACAGTCTTTATGCCATTTACTATAGAACAGAGATAGAAACTTACATTGAAACATATCGAACAACCAGCTGGATATTATTCTAGCAATCACAATAATGAACAATATTTTACCAATTGAGATGTATATTTGTAAGATTATGTTTCAGGGCAAAGAAGAGCAAAGATAAAGATGAGACAGTTTTGGATTGCCATAGTCCACTAAGTAGTAGGATCAGTATATAAACATAAAAACAAGGAGGAAGCAAATAATCATTAGTACCCGTGTCCTTATCAGATTGTGAATCACTATCTTTGTCATTCCATCCACCAGAGCGCCCTTCCCATTTTCCATGGGTTCCTCGAGAATAACCACCATATTCACCCCTGATAGGTGGGGATGAACTATAGTCATTCCGCTTGAAACCATGAGATGAAAAATCACCAGAAATTCTTCGGCGTTCTAGTAAAGGATCTTCTGAGTCACTGCTCAAGGAGGAGGGTACAGATCATGACACATTTCTCAAAAGCAGATAATGTAGCATATAAAACAAGTACAAGATCTAACAGATGCACTTCTGTAACTCTTAGATAGCAACCCATTTGTATAGAGAGCACTCTCACCGCAATAGCAAATCGTCAAATCCATTTGGCAGCTTTGGCTGCTTCTTGCAAACATCCAAGTTACTCAGGGATAAAAGAAACTCTCTCTTGTATGAAATTCTTGGCTTCCTGAATCAATAGAAGAAGTGATTACATATCCAATGCTTATGATGAGAGGAAAGTAAAGGCATGATTGACGGAATAGATAACATACTTTGCGGATCCATCATTGGTTTCAACAGGCGGATCCATCGCAAATTGTTGTTCGTTGTCTACACTCATTAGGCAAGCTGACAATACAACAATATCCCCCCTTGATCGCCCCAAAGATTAAAATTAGTTCCTCTACGGAAGTTGTCGACTATATAAAGCCCAAACTGTAAATTCTCTTAAAAAATCATGCAGAACCTTGACAACAAAAACAGTATTACAAAAGTAAAATTTGCTTAGTTCTCCTCTCTGCAGTGACCATCAGTAATCTAAACCCACCAGAACTCATAAACCCAGCTGACCACAGAATCAACAAGAAACCCGCGATTCACCATCAGAAGCTTAATCTGGTCGTCTTGATCTAGCTATATGTACAATAAGATTCAGAGGTGCGGGAAAATCTAGAAGATCCTCGCCCAAAACTGCAAAAATCTCCAGAAATCTTACAGCAGAAAATGACTAGCACATCCTTAAAATCATAAATCTAATCTCGCACCGGACACGGAAACCAGAAATTCCTAGCAAACAGGTCCAAAATTCGAATCGGTCAGCCTAATATAGAGATCGAACGAGACAAATTCCAGGGCTTCTTGCTCTAATCTAAGGTGTTAAACAACTAGGGCTTTGGCGTCACAGGGGAAACACCCGGATTCCAGAATCCATCGAAATAGAGGAACAAAAAAGAAATCGACGACTCCTAAGGATGATGAAAATTAGGGTTTCGATCTGCAGAAAGCTTTTCTGTTCTTCCTGTTTTTAATCGATTGACGAGAAGAGACGATCGTAGAAGGAAAACTAAGTCAAAGAGAGCGTCTTAACGGAGGGAGGTAAAATGAAATTCCACGCGCCTGTTGTGCGCGTGAGTTCACACATCTAGAGATTTAATTTGGAAGAAAAAATAAAACGAGAACAATTGGTTACAAGTTAAGTTTAGTTAAAATGAGGATAATTGGTTATAAGTTTTGCAGTGTTCTTTCTATTTTGATTTTACATGAATCAAACCTTTGGACACATGCAATATCATGTTAACCATGTCTGCACAAAAAAATATTTTATAACGTAGCCCAAAGTATTAATTTGAACATAAGCGACCCCAACATTTTTTTTTTATCTAAGACATCCCAGATTTTATTATTCAATCAAGATGCAAAAAATCTGAAAAATATCTAAGTTATCATTAGACTTTCTAAAAATATATTGAAATGGTGAAGAAATTGCCAGATATTGCAATGAAGATATTTACTAGTTTAAGGGATGTTTTTTGATGGTGTCAATACTTAGGGGTCAAAAAGAATATATTAGGGCATAAAAATGGGCCCGCGGCATAAAGCATTGATGCAGAGTCAGCTAAACGACGACGTTCTAGCAACTCTTGGTCTTGGGCCCAATATCGTGGGCCTATAGGCCCATCTTATAAATTAACCCATACCGTATCGTCGTTTAACAGAACAGTCCTTTTTCCTACTACGACCCCATCGGAGCTAAAACCTCTCTCCCTCTTCTTCTCCGATTTGCTTAGCTCGGCTCTACGACTCGCTTGGTCAGCCATGGCGTTTCCGTACATGGAAACCGTCGTCGGTAGGCTTCTTCTTTTTCTTCTTGTAGGAGAAAAGTCGACTCTCTGTATCCGGTCGTTGCATTTCATTTCGTTTGTTTCGCTTTGTTTTGCCTCGTCCGGTGATGAGTCTCCGTTTTTGTTTTTTCTGCACCATTTCTCTGTTAGGTTTCTTCATGGCTCTACTTACCTGTTATATTTCTTGATCTGAGGTTTTGTTGATCGGACTATTTCTTGTCTTTCTTGTGCTTATGGTTCGTCCGTTGTCTATGGGTCTGGTGATCTACATATTATCTGCTCTTCCTATCAGTGTACATGAAGCCTTGTGCATAAATATGCATCTCTGTTTAGGAGTTATTAGGGTTTTGGGAGAAGAGTTGGAAACTGACGATGGAGGAATTCTGGTCGTCAAACATATTCAATGGGACTTGTTGGATCAAACTCCTTTTTCTTCTAGGTTGTGTGTTCCCCGGCCGGATTTTAAGGAGAAATTTAGAATTGGGATAAGAATTTCGTTGTCTTGTTACAAGTTTTTGTGAAGGCAAATAAATGCGTAAACTCCCTTTTTTGAATTTTTTTTGTGAACCTATTTTCTATTGAGCATACACTGGGAACCTATGTCTAACATGGTTTAAAACAATAAAACATGAATCTAAGTTGGGAAAATAAGGAATTGTATTGGTTGATGGGTAAGCACAAAAGAAATATGATTGAAACTTTCAGGTTATTCCTTCATGTGTTGTTTACCTGAACCATAATCGTTCTTTACTTTTTTTTACAGGGTTTATGATAATGATGTACATATTAGAAATGTATTTGGATTTGCGCCAACATTCTGCTCTCAAGCTGCCAACTCTCCCAAAAACGTTAATTGGAGTAATCAGCCAAGAGAAGTTTGAGAAATCTCGGGCATACAGTCTTGAAAAAAGGTTGGCCCTCCTTTTTTGTTTATTTGTTTCTATAGTTAGTGTCTTATAATGTTAAGTGTCTATCTGGTCTCTGGACCACTGAAATATTGGCCTCTCTCTCTTTTTCCCTATCTTGGTCATTTTAGTTACCATAACTTTTTTTTGAGATTGTTGCTTTTGTTGTTATTTTCAGCTATTTTCACTTTGTTTATGAGTTTGTGACTATACTTATGGACTCTGCGATTTTGTTCTTTGGAATATTGCCTTGGTTTTGGAAGGTACATTTTCCATATGTTATATTGGATCTCCTGGAATATTTGGCCATAAGATATGATGATCCTAAATTTTCATTATTGCTGCAGATATCAGGAGATTTTCTACCTTTGGTGGGGCTCGATCCAGAGAATGAAATACTGCACACTCTTT